GTCTGGGTGGGAGGAGGGGGAATTCTGGGAGGTGGGACCTCCTTAGACCCATGTCAGGTTTTCTTAAAACTTTTTGGGGGGATAAATATAAGCCATCAGAATTAAAGTGCCCCCAAAAGAACAGCTCAGTGATTACACAAATGAACATCATTCAAGAATTATAAACTTGCAAATACCTGAGGATCACACCCCATCCCCTTTCTTACAGGCCACACCCCATGCCCTCCTGAGGAACCCCCAGCCTCACTTTAATGCTCGTTGCCTCCTTGCTTTTTAGTTGATCATCTGATCACACTGTCTTGAATTCTGTAGCCCTCCTGGGCCCCCCATTCTTGCACAATCCGTCTCTCCCCATAGAGGAAGTTGCAGCATCTCAGGGTCAGAAGACCTGGGCCATGGTGCCTCAGTGTGCTGGGGTTTCTGATTTGCATCGGAAAGCAGAAGAAAGGGAAGGAGAGGCACAGGAAAGCCACAGAGAATCTAACTGTGTGTAACAGAGGGACTTCTTACCCAATTATCACCTGAGATAGCTGAGAGGCCCTCTTGTCCCCATTTCCAATTAGCAGAAGAAGACATTAAGGTTCAGAGAGGCAAGTGCCATGATCTAAATGCTTGCTTCACCCTATAATTCATATGGTGAAATTCTAATCCCCAGGGTGATGGTATTAGGAACTGGGGTATTTAAGATGTGATTGGGTCACGATGATGGAGCCCCTGTGAATGGCACTGTGCCTTGTTAAGAGCCCCGAGGGGGCGTGTTTTCCCCTTACTCCACGTGAGGACACGAGAAGGCACCATCTGTGAGGAAACAAACTCTCTCTCTCTCTCTCTCCCTCTCTCTCTCTGTCTCTGTGTCTCTCTCTCTTGGCTGGCACCTGGATCCTGGACTTCTCACCATCCAGAACTGAGAGAAATATTTTTCTGCTGTTCATCATCCACTCAGTTTCTGGTGTCTTGCTGTCACACCCTGAATGGACCAAGATGGCAGATGACCTGCCCCAACCACACAGACACCCTGTCTCATGCTCTGGGGTCTGCCCAAGGTCCAGGTCATCTCTCTTGTCTGTGCTGGATTGACTTGTTGGAGAGGGAAGGCTTAGGTTGATCTCAGAGAGGAGGACAATCAAATCTCTCTGATCAGATGAGGAAAAACATTTCACTTATTCACTCCCTCATTCCTTCATTCACTCAGCATCCAGGTATTGAGCACCCATGCTGTGCCCTGAGGTGTCCAGCACATGGTGAGTAGGACAGACCCAGGTCTTGCCTTTGAGGAGAGCAACATCTGGCTGGGAAACAGAAAAGTCACCTGACCTTCCCAATGCCAGAGGGCAGGTGGTTGTGGTGGGGGAGACACAGACTGGACATGGGGGTTTTGCTCTTATGAGGTGGAAGGGGAGTTTTCAGGAGACAGTGGGCAGAGGGGACATGGTCAGGACTCAGGCAGTCACAGGATGTGGATTCCCAGGATCCTGGAATTCCTGACTCGGGGACTGTGCTCTCAATCCCTCTCACTCCCCCATGATACCGCAGACCCTCAGCAGATTCTGAGTTCTGCCCTCTGTAGGTGACCACCCACCTCTGCCCAGACAGGGCCAGGCACTGCCCACAGGGGATGCTCCCTCTGCCCAGGAGAGACTCTGGCTCCTGGGGATGCCCAGGCGAGGGTGGTGGTGCTTTCCACGGTGCTGACGCAGAGTTGAACTCTGACATTGGAGATATCTGCAGCTCTGCGGAGGGGCCTGATCACACAGAGCAGGGGCTCCAGGTTGGAGTGAGATGGTCACCATGTCAGATGTGCTGGGGAGAGCCCAGGCCCATCTGCAAAGAGGCACTGGGAGAAAGGTTGGCACCAGTTTCTTCTTTTTGTCTTTCTGTTCGCCTTCTAGGAGGTCTTATAAACACTATCACAGAAACAAAAAACTGAATACCAGATGTTTTCACTCATAAGTGGGTCCTGGTCATTAGATATCTGAACACTAAAGTGGGAACAACAGTCGCCTCATACTGCTAAAAAAGGGAGGGAGGGAAGGGGGGATAAAGAACAGACAGCCTCACACTGGGTACCGTGTCCACTACCCTCCAGGTTCTTGCGTGACATCAGAGTCCCATGCTGTCTGCACTGTCCTCCCCACTGCTCCCTCCTCCTGCCTCCCTCTGCCTCAGACTTGGGCCTCTGGGCTTGTCCACAGCTCCCAGGTCTGCTGCTACCCTCTGGGCCCTGCACTCCTGCTCCCTTTTCCCTCCTCCTGGGGGACCTTTCTCTTAGGCAGACCCAGAGCTGCTTCCTCACCTCCTCCACATCATAGCCCAGACATCACCCCCTCACACTGTCATATACAGAACTGTCCCCAATCTGTCACAACCTCCTTTTCCTGTTCTCTGTTAACAGGCTGGAGGAGACTGAGGGCATGATTTTTATCCAAACACATTTTATCATTCCCCCGCCTTTTATTTCATTGTTATTTTTTCCTGGTCTCCAGAATGACAGCACCTTGATGACAAAGATATCTTTTGCTTTCTGTTTTAATACTGGTAAAATACATGTCACATAACATTTGCCATTTTTGATGGTGTATAGGGTCCAACTGAGTGGCATTAAGCACTTTCGAATTGTTGTGCAGCCATCCCCACTGTCTACTTCTTGAACTTTCTCATCATCCTAAACAGACACTCTGCACCCATCGCACAATCACTCCCCATCCCCCCCACCTCTCTCCCCTGTCCCTAGCCTCTGGTTCACATGCTACATTTGTCCTGATGTATTTACCTATTCTAGGCAGGTCACACAAGCAGAACCACTATTCATTGTTTTGTGTCTGGCTTCTTTCACTTTGCACATGATTTCAAAGTTCACCTGTGGTGTAGCATGTATCAGAATCCCATTCATTCCTTTTTAAGGCTGGAGAATGTCCCATGTTATGGATATAGAACCTTTTTTCCATCTGTTCTTTGGTCCATGGACACTTGGGTCTCATCCACATTTCAGGGCCTGTCAATAATGCTGCGATGGACACTGCTGCACAACTGCCTGCTTAAGTTCATGCTTTCAGTTTTGGGGAAACATCCTGGAGTGGAATAGCTCGGTCATGTGGTGATTCTATGCTTAACTTTTAAAGAGAACGCGACTTTAAAAGAAAACTTTTAAACGTTTTCCACAGGGTTACACCATTTTACATGCAGCAAAAAGGCTTCAAATTCTCCACATCTATGCAGACAATGAGGAGTTGTTTTGGTTCTTTTAATGTCTTAATTTCAGACTCCTCTCCTGTGAGTGTGAAGTAGTATCTTCCTTACATTTTGATTTGCATTTGTCAGATGACCATTATTGTCGAGCATCTTCTCATGTATTCCTTGGCCATTTGCACATCATCTGGGAGCAGAGTCTAGCAGGGAACAAACTGTGCATAGCTCTCTGTCCAGGCGATGATACCTCACTCTTCAAGAATGGAGGGAAATATGGCCCTTCAGACTGTGGGGGACCAGGACAAAGAGGCATCTGGAAGCACACTCTGGAGGCCTGTGCTGGGGAGAGAGGGAGCCAGGAGGGGAGGTGGGTTCAGTGACCAAAGAAGAGGTGAGGCCACAGGAATGACCAGGGTCAGGAGAGAGAAAAAGGTGCCAAAAGGAGCTGTTATTAAAGGAGGGATGAGAGTCAGGAACGGAGGGGATCTGGGGAAGGAAAGGAGGTCAAGGTTAGAAACACACCCTGGTTCTGGCTTTAGAGATGGGGCTGCTGTGTCATCAGTGGGATGAGGGTTTCAGTAGGAGACACGGGTTTGGGGAGGAGGATGGGTGGCTCAACTTTGGCCACGCTTAGTAAAGCAATCCTGGAGCCACCTGGGGGAGGTGTCCAGAGGGATGTTCGATGGTGAGACGCCCATGACATTCACCTGAGAGATTAACTCTTGACTGTGTTTGCACCCTCCACACCTGCTGCTGCCAGTGTCGCCTTCCTCTTGCGTGCCATCACTCTGAGTGAAGAGACTAGAACCTGTCAGTGTGACCAGATCAGGGTCAGAGGGCAGAAGACTCACCCCTCTGTTCCATGTTAAGAGGTTGGAGGAGGCTGAGAACAGAGAGCTGGTCAAGTCCCCTTGACAAGAGCAGAAACCTCCCAGAAACTCAGCCAGAGTTGAGGACAGACAACTGTTCACACATGTGGATTCTCTCCTCAACTCAACCTCCTGCCCCTCCCCAGGCCCTTTGACCCATTCAGTCCCCTCCAACTCTAGGACAAGGGGCTCAACATCATGTCCCTCATCCTCCCCATACCTCCCCCTGTTCCCTGGGGCAGAGCTCACTTGAGGAAGACAAGGCAGAGGCAGAGAAGCAGGATCTTCACAACCAGTACCCCAATAGCCAATAGAAACACCTCTGATGGGGGCCCTGATTTCCCTGTGGAATAATGATGTGAGAACAATTCATCTGCTAAACCACAATCCTGAGATCTTCTTCTCTTATTGAGATGTGGACATTAAGTCTCCAGAACCTTCTTGAATGTGGGACGTGATCAGTCTGGGCCTCACCCTACTCCCTACCAAGACTGTTCAGCAGTGAACAGAGGACTCATGCCCCATGGAAATCCAGGTCTCACAGCACACCCCAGTCCCCTGCTGACCCCAAGATGGGGCTTGCTCAGAGACCTGGGAGTTGAAGGTCATTGGAAGGGGTCCAGTGTGCAGCCTTGACACTCACCCTGTAGGGAGAGGCTCAGGGAGACGTGCTGAGAGCCCAGAGGGTTCTGAGCTCGGCAAGTGAATTCTCCTTCATCCCCGAGGTGCACCTGGGGCAGCTCCAGCACTCCAGGATTCAAGGGCTGTGAGGGGCTCAGGGTCAGGCTCCCCCGGGTCCAGCTCAGCCTGCCTGGAGGGTTGCTGTTGACAGCACATACCAGTTGCAGAGACTGTCCTTCTAGGACCCGAAGAGATGAATCTTCTCTCAGTGTTTTGGATGCTGGAGAGAAAGAGATTGAGGGTCAGAGAAACAGAGATCCACAGAAAGAGAAAGACACAGTAAAGGACAGCTGAGGGGGAGCTGGCACACAGAGACTGAAACACAGGAAATGCACACTATCACCCCTCACTGTTGAGAATATCAGACTTGTCCACCCTTCATTAATAACTCCTTGGCCATATTTCTCAAAATTAGAAAAAACATATGACCCAGACACATTGCATTTAACAACTGATTGTACGGGCTTGGGTACACACGTGTGGAAGCAGATAGATTATTTGCTTATGTGTGTCTGTGGGAAAACACACTTAATGCCCTGGCTCCCCATGAGGAGAAGATGTTCACAGATTCAGGATCCATCTGTTTCATGGGCACCACACAGTCCTGGAGGAGGGTGAGGACAGTCCATCCCACTGATGTCAAACAACTTCTGAGATCCTTCAGGTGAACACACTGAGACTCAGAGCAACCTGGACAGACACAGATCGATTCTGGGGAGGGGGTTGGGCATCTGGGAACTGACTCTGCTGTGTGTTTAGGATTGTAGCCCATGTGACTCAATCATCTGTCCAGAAAGACTTAGGTCAGAACTACTGTGGGAAATTAAAGTCGGGGCAGGAGGCACGCTCAGGAGACAGGTAATGAAGCACTAGAGTAGTCCTGATGTGTGAACATCTCTCTGTCCTTGCTGTGGGCCAGGAGGTATGTGTGTGGAGGAGTCTGAGGGGGTAGAGGGGTGGATGGAAAAGATGCTCAGGGGCCCTGAGACTAAGGGTAGGGAGCGACTCTGGGTTCACCTGGTGACCAAGTGAGTCCAGGATGAGGAGGGTCCCTGCACTGAGCTGAAGGCCCTGTTCCCCCACCCAGGGAGGGGGTTCCATCCTACTTGTGTCATCTCCTTGGTAGACAGTCACCGTCAAGTTCTGAGGAGCATCTGGACAGAAAGACAGGACAGATCCACATCACTGTGGGGATGGTGGACAATGGCCCTCTCCCCAGAGCGTCATGGACAGGGAAGATGGAGCCTGCATCCTTCTGACCCTCCACTCCCAGCCCAGATTCTAAGATGTAGAACACTTTTTCCAGCCCTGATTCCCATTCCACTGCCTCAAAGACCCCCTCCCCTCACTCCCAGTCAGGGGCCTGGGTCCAGCTCTCACAGGACACATTGAGATGGATGGTTCTCGTCCCAGTCACACCAGCCCCAGGCAAGGTCACTTGACAGGTGAGGCTGGAGTTGTGGTCCTGGGGCTGCGGAATGAGTGTGAGCACTGAGGAGGCAGTGCTGATGGGGCTCTGGGGGGACACAGAGGTCCCCATCCAGGAGATCATGGGGAGCCTTCCCTGTTCACAGGCCCAGGACACAGAGCAGGTCAGGTTCCTGGGGTGGCCGGACTCCAGGATCCCTGGGTTGAGGATGTAGGGAGTCAGATCTAATGAGGAGAGGAAGCACATAGGATCAGGAGGGAGGGTCCGAGGTGTGGCCTTGGAGAAGCTCAGGCTCTGGTCCAGCTCCTCCCCTGGAGCCCAAAATGCTTCACTCCAACCCCCTCCCAGGATGGGGTCCTATCCCAGCCCTGCCCTGTGACCCCACAACTTTCCCCTGTGGCCACTCCTGGAGCCTGAGCCTTACCTGTTACAACCACAGAGAGCTGGGGAAAACTGTAAGTGTATTTCAACTTTCCTTTTTCCACCCGAAAGAGGTATGTCCTCTGGTCCGTCTTCCTAGCGTCTCTGATGCTCAGGGAGCAGTTGTTGGTCTGTGGGTCCCCGAGGAGGTAGAATCGGCCCTGGGTCTCCTCCTGCAGTTTTCTACCTGGATTGTTCGTGGCCACTGGAGCATCCAGGTTCATCTTGGCCCCTTTCTGGAACCAATAGCCATATGCTGTGTCAGAGTCAGTCTTTCTGTCCTGGGGGTAGGAGAAGGAGCAGGGCACAGAGACACACAGGCCCTCCTGCACTGTCACTGGCCCCCGGACATTCAGTGTGTAATCATCCTCATTCAGCCCCTGTCCCTCCATTCCCTCAATGCCCCAGAACAAAGGCAGCAGCAGCAGCCGCCGCAGCATGTCTGGGTTGGGAGGTTGCAGGGCCGCTGGGAAAAGCTTCATCTTCAGGGCTCTTCTCTCAGGAACTAAGAACTCAAGACTCAGAGGAGGCCCCACAGGAAGATGGGGCAAGGTCAGAGCAGTGACCTCATCAGAGCAGGACCTTCACACCCAGACACTGTCAGGGCTGGGACCGCCCTTGGAGATCAACCGTCACCACTCATGTCTAGTCCTGGGGACCCAGAGGTTGTGAGAGACTCACACAAATTCATACCCCATGCCGGGCTAGACCTCCATCTCCTGCCTTCTGGTCGTGGTCATTCCTCTGAGATGACATTTTCTGCAAAGTGAAAATACCTCCCATCTGGCCAGACCCCTGAGACTCCCCTGAGACTTTCATGTCAGTAGAGATCAGGCCTGTTGAAGGTGGGAAATGATGAGGCCCAGGAGGGATGACAGACAACCTCTCCTTCCTCCCTCAGCATCCATGAGGTGGGCTTCCCCTCTCTGCATGATGATGTCAACACACTAGAACTGGACACTGTCCCCAAGGAGTCACCGTTCAGCGAGGAATGAGCAAGTCTCCTGATGTCTGAGCTCTCCCAACAGGAGCTTCAGTGGGAGACACACAGTCGGGTTGGGAGACTCTTCCCTGATTGTAGGTTGGGTCTCAGAAGGACTGAGCAGGGGACGTGGGGCTGTGGAGCTGAGGGTTCCGTGTGCCAACACACAATAAGGACACCAGGGGAGCCCAGCTCACAGGGGAGTCTGAGGTGGTGACAGTCATGCAGCGGGATTTGGAAAGGAAGGATGTCATAAAAAAGGGCAGAATTCAAAATGGGAAGTTTGCCATGGTACTCACTTAACAACAATGACAAAAAAAACCCAGAAGATAAGAATGAAAAGGGGAAACACACAAAAGCCACAGAGATCTTCCTGTTTGCAAAAGAACTTATGACACACTCATGACCCAGATAAGCTGGGAGGTCCTCTGGCCCCACTTTCCCATTTTTCAGAAGAAGATACCAGGGTCCAGAGTGGCAAGTGCCATGATATAAAATTCATAAGGTGAAATTCTAACCCCCAGGGTGATGGTATTAGGCATTGTGATCCTTTGGGCTGTGACTAGGTCATGATGGTGCAGCCCTCATAAACGAGATCTCTGTCCTTATGAGATAGCCCTGAGGGAGCATGGTTGTCCCTCCCACCATGAGGATAGGAGAAGGTGCCATCTGTGAGGAAGGAGGACCTCACCAGACACTGACTCTGCCTGCAAGTTGATCTTGGTCTTCCCCACATTTCTTTAACTGTGGGAAATAAGTTCCTGGTGTTCCTAAGTCACCCGGGTGGAGGTCTTGCTGTCACAGCCTGAAAGGATTGAGATGGTGAGTGACCTGCCCCTACAACACAGCTGCCCTGTCTTATGCTCTGGGGTCTGCCAGGGGCCATGTCATCCCTCTTGTCTGCACAGGATCGAGTTGGCTGGAGAGGGAGGCTTGTATTGATTTCAGAGGGAAGAATTTTCAAGTCTCTCTGATCAGATGAGGACATACACTTCTTTCATTCACTCCCTCATTCATTCATTCACTCAGCATCCAGGTATTGAGCAACCATGCTACCTCGAGGTGACCAGCACCTGATGAGTAGGAAAGACCCAGGTATTTCCTTTGAGGAGAGCAACATCTGGCTGGGAGACAGACAAGTCTGCCTTTCCAATGCCGGAGGGAGCCACAGACTGGTCATGAAGGGGGAGCCACAGATTGGTCATGGTTCTCTTCCTCTTATGGAGTGGAAGGGGAGTCATTAGGAGAGAGTGGACAGAGTGGATGTGGTGGGGACTCTCAGGCAGTCACAGGATGTGGATTCCCTGGACCTGGAATTCCCAATTCCTTGTGCTCTCAATCCCTCTCACCCTCCCACAACACTGAGGACCCTAGGCAGCTACCAAGTTCTGCCCTCCATATGGGACCACCCACCTCTGTCCCAGCAGGGTCAGGCACTGCCATAGAGGGCGCTCCTTCTGCAAAGGACGGACTACTGGGGAAGCTCAGGCAAGGGCGGTGGTGTTGTCCGTGGTGCTGACACAGAGTTTAGCCCTTTCTCTGGAGATGTCTGCAGCTCTGCAGAGGGGTCTGGTCACACAGAGCAGAGCCTCCAGGTTGGATCCAGATGGTCACCATGTCAGATGCGCTGCGAAAGCCCAGGTCCATCTGGGAGGGAGCACTCGGGAGAGGGAAAAACCACTCTTTCTCCTCCTTGTCCTCTTTTATACCTTTTTGAATGTCCTGTGCACAATGCCAGGCTGCTGTCACTGAAACAAAGGCAAGGAAGGGGAAGGCTCTGAGCTGTCCCTCTAGATACGTGTTGCTGTGTTATCTTCCAACGTCTCTGACTGAGAGGGGCAAACCTCTCATCAGGTAAAGGAGGCATCCAACACTCAGAGGAGGAGCTGGAGGAACTCGGCTCCACAGACAACACTCCACAATCCTACACCTATCCAAATGGGATGATCTTCTCATTATAGGATGGAAATTATTTTTGTTTAGTCGGAGTATCACTCTGTTGCCCAGGCTGGAGTGCAGTGGCACACTAACAGCCAGCACAGCCTTGACCTGCTGGGCTCAGGTGATCCTTCCACCTCAGCCTTCTAAGCAGCCAAAACTACAGGCACGAGCTACCACGCCCAGCTAAATTTTGATTTATGTAGAGAAGACGTCTCGCCAAGCTGTCTCGGTTGGTCTTGAACCCATAGGCTCAGTCAATCGACTTGTCTCGGCCACCCAAATTGCTGGGATTACAGGCTGAGCCACCAAACCCAGCCAGGATGGAGTTATTATTATCTCCACTTCTTGCCTCTGAATGGGACCCATGACTGCTTTCACCAGTGCAACATGGAAGACAAGGTGTCCTGAGACTTCTTGGTTCAGACATTAAGAAGACCTGGCAGTTTCCCACCTGCCTCATGAGTCCCTGGGCTTCTGTGTAATTCAAGTGCTGTGTGGGAGAGATGCTACCTGCAGGAGTACTAGGGCCAATGGCATCCAGCTCCATCTGGCCCAAGGTCTAAATGCAATTGTTTGGAAGAGCTCAACAAAAACTAGGGAAGAAATTGCCCCGCTGGGTCCCAGTTATTACAGCATCCCATAATAGAGTAAGATTATCAGCTTGGCCACTGAGTCTGGGAGTGGCTCAATGCGCAGCACAGATCACCAGAACAGTGGCCACAGAAATCAAAGCTCACAGAGAAGAGGTGAAGTGTTTGGGAGTTACTCATCTGACTAACTGTTCTCCCTGCTGTATTTAAAGGATTGCCTTTCAGAGGAGTCTGAAGCCTTTGCTGAAGACACTGGTGCAGGTTGGAAACACATTGCCCACATCATGAAGAGTGATCAGGGGAGTCGGGGTGACACAGTCATACTCATATCTTCAGTGTCCACCTGGCTCCTTGGGAGACTGGGCTGAAGGGTCAGCTGGACTGGAATGAGCCCACCTAGTAGGAGTCTGGGGCAGCTTGTCATCTGGTATGTTGTGGACAGGGATTTCTGTCACTAAGTGCAGCACGACCCTCCTTCACATGTGTGCCCCTGAGTACACTGGGCCCAGCTTATCCCCAAGTCAGTGGTATACATGCAGACCATTAACAGCACAGATTTACCAGTGAAAGGCAAGTGATGGTGTGGAGGAGTGCATATATGGGGAGGGGGCAGGTAGGACACAAAAGAGCAGTTGGTGGGGTGTGAGTAGGGTTTCCAGGAAGAGGCTTATAGTGATGTCCCTCCATCTTGCCCCTTGGGTCAGTAACCTCACCTCAATTCTGTCTTGGGACAGAGTGGCTCATTCAGCTACTCAGTTCTGCTTCCCTGGGGCCTCCCAGGCAGAGCCAACAGGATCTCAGATCAGATTTATTAGGCCACTTTAATTCTGATTCCAGGTGGGGCAGGGCAGCTCAACCCCACTGGAAACTCAGAAACCAATCACTGGGTTTTTCTGGAAAGAGACAGGCCTGCTCACCTGGTGTGGTAGATCCAGGTGGGGCCACAGGAGAGGAGGAAGTCAGGCTTCATGAGGGCCCCCTGAATCAGAATGAGGGTCTGCGGCCAGGAGCCTGCCTGTCTCCAGTCAAACATCTATTCAGGAGATGTTTCCCTAAAAGGGGAGAAGAGGAAGAGGTTCTGTTCCCAGAACTGAACCCCTCCACAGCCCAACACCTGACCAGGCCGACCACCCCAGCCCCTGTCCTGCAAGTTATTCTGCACAGTGAGGCTCAAGGAAACATGATGGGAGCCCAGCAGGTGCTGACCCTGGCAGATGAGTTTCCTCCCTCCCCAGCTTCTGTGCAGGCAGCAAGAGGTCCCCGTGTGCTGAGAGTGGGTGGGATTCAGAGTTCTTCTTTCCTTGGACCAATTGAAGGAGGAAGGGGGTTGCTGTCAGCCACACAGAACAGGTGAAAGGACTGGCCCTGCAGGACGGGCAGTGACAGTCATTGCTCAGGGTCTTCAGGGCTGCCATTCATGCCAAGGTGTCTGAGAGACTCAGGCAGTTTCAGTCATTTTCCTAGAGGTGGGGGGGAAATCTGGATTCACATGTGATTTCCCCAAGAGAAATGATGCTGAGTGGGTGTCACATGCTAAGGACCATTTTTTTTCTTCTTTGGAAAAATGGGATCAATTCTTTAGCTTGTTACTTCTAAAACTGATTTTGTTGGCTTTTGTTTTGTTGTGAGACTCCTTTAGATTTTCTGGGCACAAACTGTGTGTCATGTATGAGCTTATCAGTCATTTCTCCCAGCAGATCAACTTTTCTGTTGACTGTCTGAACTGTCTTTTACAGAAGAGCAGAACCCTTGTTCCCAAACAACTGAGCAAGGCATGAGATGACCCACTCTTGTGGAAGGAAGTAGCTGAGAAGATGGAGAAGAGGTCTGGCCCAGGAGGCCAGAAGGGGGTACTCTGGGTGCAGAAAGTCACCTGGGGAAGAGTTCAGGAAGCCATCCTGCAGGAGAGCACAAAGAAGGACCCAGGAACAGCCCTCCTGTTCCTGCTCTCCATAGCCTACTGCTTCTGGCCTGTCCCTGGGAGCAGAGGGAAAGCTACCCACTCCCAACAGGATCCAAACACTGAGACTCTTCCCATGTCACCCCCAGAGTTCCGGCCACGTCCAGTCACCTGCCTCATCCAGAAGCCCACCAGCCAGCCCAGGAACAAACAGCCTGATCCCTCCAGCCTAGGATCCACCCTCACAGCTCCCCCTATGGGCTGCTCTTTCCCAGCTTTGGAGCTCATTCAACACAGAAGAGGGCAGATATCTCCTCATGGCCAGGACTCCAGCTTGTGGTCCCTAGAGAGGGAAGAGAAGGGTCACATCAAGCAGGGGATACAGGAGGGGGTTGGAAAAAGGATCATTGTTGACTGATTCGTTCATATTGTCCAACATTTTCTGGATACCATATTGTTTTTGGTTACCATTTTCATAAATATTTACCAAAACTCAAAACTCTGTTCCCCTGAAACAGCAACTCCCCTTCAGCTCCTCAGTCCCTGGCACTCCGCACTGTACTTACTGTCTATGAAGGTGACTCTTGTTGTCACCTTATGGAAGTGGAATCCTACAGTGTTCAATTTTTTTGTGACTGGTATATTTCCCCTAGCAGGATGTTTCCAAAAGTCATCCACTAGGTAGCAGTTTTCAGAATTCCTTTTCTTTTTAAGATTGATATGTTCTCCCTTTTGTTTATCCATTTTTCTGTACAGATCATGTGGCTTACTTCCATGCCCTGGCTATAGTAGATGCTTTCATGACCACAGAAGGACCGAAATCCACTCAAGCACCTACTTTCTTCTTTTTTATTTTGAGTTGGACTCTTACTCTATCGCCCAGGCTGGAGTGCAGCGGTATGCTGCTCATGGCCACTGCAGCCTCTACCTGCTGTGCTCAGGCAATATTTCCACCTCAGCCTTTCAAGTAGCTAGAACTAAAGGTGCGCACCACCACACTCCCGCTAATTTTTGTTTTTGTGGAGACTAGGTCTCACCGTGTTGCTCAGGATGGTCTTGAATCCACAGACTAAGGCAATCCTCTCACCTCTGGTTCCCAAATTGCTGGGATTACAGGCATGAGCCATGGCACCTGCGCTCCTATTTTCTTTTGGATGTACAATCAGAAGTAGAATGCCTTGATCACTTGTTGCTTCTATTTTTAATTATTTGAAGAATGGTGATGCTCTTATCATCCCTTTTTTTGGCTCCACCCTTTGTCATTACTTTACACTATAAAAATTGACACCCAGGAGTCCCCTCGTCCATGGTGGAGACTTTTCTGGGTCCCCATGGGTGACTGAAGTCACAGAGAGAGGAAATCTTATATGTTCTAGGTTTTTTCCTCTATCTACATAACTAAGATGAATTTTAATTTTAAAAAAGATTGCTGTGTGGCCTCAGGGGCCCACGTGATCTGCATCATCCTCTCTGCAGTTTCCTTCTCCTGCCTTCCTCTGCATCAGACACCAGCCTCTGGGTATGTCCACAGCTCCTAAGCATGCTGCTTCCTCTGAGTCCTGCACCCCTGTTACCCTTTCCCTCCTCCTGGGTAGACACAGAGCTGCTTCCTGACCTCCTCCACATCTATACTCAGACATCACCTCCTCACACCTTCAGACCCAGAAACTATCCGTAGATTGTCACAAGGACCTTTCCCTGGATGGTTTTCTTCCCAACACAGATCACCATCCCACATGCTTCCATTCTGTTATTTCTTTCTTCTTCTGTTCTTTAGAATGTCAGCAACTTCATAAAAGAGTTATCTTCTGTTTTCTGCTTTCATTTGGTGAAATATACGTAACATAACATTTACCCTCTTAACACTCTCTAGGTACACTTCAGTGGCATCAATCACTTTCACATTGTTGTGCAGCCATCTCCACTCTCTGTTTCCAAACTTTCTCATCACCCTAAATGGAAACTCTCACTCTGTTGCACAATCACTCCCCATCGCCCCCATCCCCAGCCTCTGGGCCACATTCTGTTTTCTGTCCAGAAGAACTTGCCTGTTCAAGGTGGGCCATCTAGGCAAGGGTCATATACTATTTGTTGTTTTGTGCTGGCTTCTTTCACTTTGTCTATTGTTTCAAGGTTCAATCACATTGTAGCAAGAATGAGAATTCCATCCATTCCTTTCTAAACCTGGAGAATATTCCATTTTTATGGGCATAGAACCTGTGTCTATCCATTCATTGATCCATGGACACTTGGGTCTTTTCCTCCTCTCAGATCCTGTAAATATATTGCAATGGACACTGGTGTACACCTATCTACTTAAGTCTACTTTTAATTTGGGGGGAAATATCCAGACGTGGAATAGGTGGATCATGTGACGATTCTATGATTAATTTTTTTATTCTTTTTTTTGAGTTGGAGTCTCCCTCTGTCACCCAGGCTGGAGTGCAGTGGCACACTGCTCATGGCCACCACAGCCTCAACTTGCTTGGCTTAGGTGATCCTTCAGCCTCAGTCTTCCAAGTAGCTGGAATACAGACACACGCCACCATGACTGACTAGATTAATTTTAATTTTTTTTTATTTAGATATGGGGTACAGTTTAGGGTTAGGTATACAAATGTTCATTATGCAGGTACTCTTGCTGATGGGTCCCCACCCCCAAGGGCAGTTTCTCACTGCTTCAATAGTTGTTCAATATCTGCTTATGAGTGAGGACATGTGATACTTGGTTCTTTGTTTCTGTGACAGATCACTCAGTATTATACTCATTCAAGTTTCTGTGAAGTTCACAATTTTGTCCTTTATGGCTGTGTAATATTTCTTCATGTATATGTACCACATTTTTTTTAGTCAGTCCTCTTTTGATGGGCAGCATAGCTTATTCCATGTTTTTACTATAGTGTATGCTTAACTTTTAAAGGAACACCAAAGGGTTTGCCACAGGTTGCACCATTTTTCATGCAGTGCAGAAAGCCTTAAGTTTCTCCACACCCTTTAAAAGAATTAATGTTTCTGTTTTAGATTTGTTATATTTCTCTCTTTTAAACAGATTTCCTGATATGTGTGAAGCAGTATCTCCAATTCAGTTTGATTTGCATTTGTCAAATGATTACTGTCGATGAGCATCTTTTCACGCCTTCCTTGTCCATTTGCACATCGCCTAGAACAGAGTCCAACAGGGACAGACTGTGCACGGCCCTCAGTCCAGGAGGTGGCCTTTGCAACTTGCTCTTCAGCAATGGAGAACAGAGTTGATCAAACTTTGGAGGACCTGGACAGGGAGGCATCTGGAAGCACAGACCTGTATTGGAAAGAGAGGGAGGCAGGAGGGGAGGAGGGTGAGTGACCAGGAAAGAGGTGATGTTGCAGGAATGACCAAGGTCAGGGTGATGAACAGAGCACCAAGCAGAGCTGTGCTTAGGAGAAGGAGGAATGAGACACAGTGATGGACGGGATTTGGGCAGGAAGATAGGTCAAGGTGAGAAACACAGCCTGGTTCTGCTTTAGAGATGGGGCTTCCATGTCATCTACAAGATGGGGACCTCAGCAGGAGACATGAGTTTGGGGAGGAAGATAGATGGCGCAACTTTGGCCATGCTGACCAGAGCAATCCTGGAACCCCTTGGGGGAGGTGTCCAGAGGGATGTTGGATGGTGAGAAGTCCACAGCACTCAACTGAGAGATTACCCTGTGACAGTGTTTGCTTTCTCCGTGCCTCCTGCCACCCATGCTTCCTTCCTCCTGCTGGACCTTGCCCTGAGAGAGGTAACCAGTGCCTGTCAGTGTGACCAGATTGGGATCAGAGGGCAGCAGAGTCACCTCCCTATTCCCTGTTAAGCGACTGGAGGAGATTGAGGGCAGAGAGCTGGTCAAGGCCCCAGGACACCCTTGATGAGAGAAGGAACTTCCCCACCCCGGACCCTCAGCCAGAGTCAGCACAGATGACTGTTCACCCTGTGGTTTCTCACCACAACTCAGTCACCTGCCTCCTCCCAGGCCCTTTGACTGGTTCAGGTCCCTCCAGCACTAACAAGGGACTCAGTATCATTTTCCCTGCCCTGCCTGCACCTTCCTCTGGTCTCTGGGGCAGTGCTCACCTGAACAAGTTGAGGCAGAGGCAGAGAAGCAGGATATTCAGAGCCACTACCACAATGGCCAATGGAAACACCTCTTTCAGGGGCCTTAATTTTCTCACAAATCAAACAGGATGAGGCCATTTCACCTGCCAAACCATAATCGTTGATCCTTCTTCTCTTATTGGGATGTGGACACAGGGTCTCCAGACCCTTCCTGCATCACAGGATGTGAGAAGTTTTCAGCCCTGGCCCCATCCCACCCTCTGCCAGGACCATCCAGAAGTAAACTGAGGACAAAGACCCTTTGGAAATTCAGGCCCCACAGTTGCATATAGGGTGAGGCTTGTTCAGAGACCTGGGAGCTGAAGGTCATTGGGAGGGATCCGGTGTGCAGCCCCTTGACACTCACCCTGTAGGGAGAGGCTCAGGGAGACATGCCAGCAGCCCAGAACATTCTGAGTTCAATAGGTGAATTCTCTTTCATCCCCAGGGTGCACTCGGGACAGCTCCAGCACCCCAAGGCTTGAGGGCAATGAGGGGCTTAGGGTCAGGCTCCCCTGGGTCCAGCTCACCCTGGCTGGAGGGTTACTGTTCACAGCACAGACAAGGCACAGAGACTGTCCTTCTAGGACCCAAAGAGATGAATCTTCTCTCAGCATTTTGGATGCTGGAGAAAAAGAGACTGAGGGTCAGAGAAACAGAGATCCAATAAAAGAGATAGACTCAGTGAAGAACAGTTGAGGGGGAGCTGGCACACAGACAGAGACTGGAATGCAGGAAATGCACACTGACATCCCTCAGTGTTAAGAATGTTGACTTGTCCACCCTTCATTAATAACTCTATGGCCATTTTTCTCAAAATTAGAAAAAAACATATGACCTTGCATTTAACAACTGATTGTGCAGGCTTGGATGCACACTTGTGGAAGCAGATAGATTATTCACTCCTGCATGTCTGTGGGAGAACACAGTTAATGCCCTGACACCCCATGAGGAGATGTCCACAGAATCAGGATCCATCTGTTCCATGGACATCACATCGTTCTGGAGGAGAGTGAGAATGGTCTGTCCCACTGATGTCAAACAATCTCAGATCCTTCCGGTGAACACACCAAGGCTCAAGGCAGCCTGGATGGACACGAATCGATTCTGGGGAAGGCGATGGGCATCTGGGGACAGACTCTGCTATGTGTTTAGGATCATAGCCTATGTGACTCCACCACCTGCCCAGAAGGACTTAAGTCAGAACTATAGGAGGAAAGAAAATTCTGGGCAGGAAGTATGTTCACAAGATCAGTGATGAGGCCCTGGAGGAGTCCGGCTGTGTGAATGTCACCCAGTCCTTGGTGATCTTGTTGTGAGTGTGTGTGTGGAGAGGTCTGAGGAGAGCAAGGGGTGGACAGGAAAGAAGCTCAGGAGCCCAGGGACTGAGGGTGGGGAGTGGCCCTGGGTTAAACCACAAGGGGATCTCTGGTGACCAAGTGAGTCCAGGATAAGGAGGGGCCCTGCTCTGAACTGAAGGCCCTATTACCCAATCCAAGAAGGGGGCTCCATCCTACCTGTTTCATTTCCTTAGTTGATAATTACCATCAAGTTCTGAGGAGCATCTGGACAGAAAGACAGGACAGAGCCACATCACTGTGGGGGTGGTGGACACTGGCCCTCTCCCCAGAGTTGCATAGACAGGGAGGCTGGAGCCTGCCTCCTCCTGATTCCCCACTCCCAGCCCAGATTCTGGGATGCAGAGCACACTGTCCAGCCCTAACACCCATCCCACATCCCTCAGGGGCCTTCTCCTCCCACTCCCAGTAGGGACCCAGGCCCAGATCTCACACGACACGTTGAGATGGATGGTTCTTATCCTGGTCACACTGGCCCAAGGCAAGGTCACTTGACAGGTGCCTTGATCCTGGGGCTGTGGAATGAGGGTGAGCACAGAGGAGGCAACATTGATGGGGATCTAGGATGACACGGAGGCCCCCATCCAGGAGATCATAGAGGGCAGCCCCAGTTCACAGGCCCAGGGTGAAAAGCAGCTCAGGTTCCTGGGTCAGTCAGACTCCAGTGTTTCTGGGATGAAGATATGTGGAGTCAGATCTGGTGAGGAGGGGGACATACTTGATGAGGAGGGAGGGCCCAAGTTATGGCCCTGCAGAAGCTCAGGCTCTGGTCCAGCTCCTCCCCGAGTCCGAAAGGCTTCACCCCAACCCTCTCCCAGGCCGGGGTCCCATCCCAGCCTGTTGGGAGCTGGCCGTGGAGGCCTGCCTGAGCGTTAGGGATCCAGGCGGGCTGCGGACCTTGAGACCACCAGGCTGGTTCAGGAGCTGAAGGCCATTCCCTCCTCCTTTCTTTGTTGTTTAGTGTTACCCACTGGCAGGGACTTCTATGATCTAAGCATGAAGTTCTGAGAATATGACAGGCATGGCTGACTCTAGAGATCCAATGTTCCCGTTTCTCACAGACTGTGGTTTCGGCTTTAAACTTAACACAGTTCAAACTCAGATCACAGTTGGGAGCCTTATACATAATACAAGCTTCTTTATAAGATTTAAAAATATACTTATAAAATTAGTATATACATTTAGAGGGCTGTTTCCAGCGTTAGATGGTATAGATTATTACCTAGGATTACCAGAAATGGCCCAGCACAAACTTTGGGCTGGGCCACATTCTTTAGGAACTGGTTTAAGCCATAATTAAGAGTTGTTTATAGGACAGGTAAAATTAGCACAGATAAGAAAGGTATTAGGATTTTAGTCAGTTATATTGCTTTTGAGGAATATAAACCAAGCATGAGGAACAGTGAGATAACTTTGGGATTGTCCTTCCTCATGCTTGGGAAAATGCCTGGTGGGTGGGGGACGCCCTCCCACCTACCTGGCTTTGTGTTCACGTAAAAGTCTTGTGATTTGATTGGGATTGTCCTTGCTCATGCCTAAGGAAACACCTGGTGGGTGGGGGATGCGCCTCACCCACCTGGCCTTGTGCTCACGTAAAAGTCTTGTGATTTAACATGTGAAAGTTTGGGATAAAAGACTCACAGCTGGTCCCAATAAACGGCTTCTGCTCATTTCACTGAACTTTCTTTCTTTTTCTTTCCACTTTCTTTCTTTTTCTTTCTTCCTCTTTATATCTATGCCTCCATCTTGCTTTCTTTTAATATCTATCCCTACTACAGAATCGGCTTCTGCACTAGACAGAGTCCAGTCTCTTTCTTCCCTTCTATTTCTCCAGAATATTCGCCAACACTGCCTCACCTTCCAGGGACCCTCTAAATCTCTTTGGGGGGGCTGGCCCCCCATACCAGCCCTGCCTTGTGGACCCACAACTTTCCTTGTGGCCACTCTTGGAGCCCAAGCCTTACCTGTCACAACCACAGAAAGCTGGGGAGAATTGTAAGTGTGTTTCATGCTTCCTCTCTCCGCTCGAAAGAAGTATGTCCCCCGGTCCCTTTTCCTGACATCTCTGATGCTCAGGGTGCCGTTGTTGGTCCATGAGCCCCTGAGGAGGCAAAATCGGCCCTGGGTCTTCTCCTGCACTTTTCAAGCTGGGTTGTTCGTGGCCACTGGAATGCCCCAGTTTGTACTGGTCCCTTTCTGAACCCAGTAGCCATAAGCTGGGTCAGAGTAAGTCCAGTCATCCTGGGGGTAGGAGAAGGAGCAAGGCACAGAGACACACAGGCCCTCCTGCACTGTCACATTCACTGTGCAACCATCCCCACCCAGTCCCCGTCCCTCCATCCCCTCCAACCCCAAGAGCAGGATCAGCAGCAGCAGCAACAGCATGTCTGGGGTGGGAGGTGCCAGGGCCACTGGGGAAAGTCTGTTCCTCAACGTTCTTCTCTCAGGAACTAAGAGCTCAAGACGCAGAGGAGGCCCCACAGGAAGATGGGGGCGAGGTCAGAGCAGTGACCTCAGAGGAGGAACTTCACATTCGGACAGTGTCAGAGGTGATACCACCCTTGGAGATCAACCGTCACCACTCATGACCACTCCTGGGGACCCAGAGAGGGCGAGAGGACTCACTCAAATTCACATCCCATGTGGGGCCTGACCTCCATCTCCTGCCTCCCTGTTGATGTCCTTTCTCTGGGTAGACATTTTTTGCCAAACGAAAAAAAGTCCCATCTGGCCAGATCCCTGAGACTCCCCTGAGACTTTCATGTCAGTGGGGTCAGGCCTGTTAAAGGTGGGGAGTGATGGGGCCCAGGAGGGGTGACAGGCAGCCTCACCTTCCACCCTCAGCATCCACAAGGTGGGCATCTCCTCTCTGCATGACGAGGTCAACACACCAGACCTGGACACTGTCCCCAAGGAGTCACTATCCAGCAAGGAGTGAACAAGTCAGCTGATGTCTGAGCTCCCTCAACAGGAAATTCAGTGGGGGACATACAGTCTGGTTGGGGGGCTCTTCACTAGGTTGGAGGCTGGGTCTCAGGAGGAATGAGCAGGGGACATGGGGTTGTGGAGCTGAGGGTTCTGTGTGTCAACACACAACAAGGATACCAGGGGAACCCAGCTCACAGGAGGCCTGGGAGGCTGAGGCTGAGAGAGCTGTGCAGTGGGATTTGGAAAGGAAGAAAGTTATTTTTTAAAAGGACAGAATTCAAAATGGGAAGTTTGCCATGCTCCTCATTTTACAGAAGATAAGAACGAAAAGGAGAAACATGCAAAAGCCAGAGAGAATCTTTCTGTGTGCAAAAGAACTTATGACACACTCATAACCCAGATAAGCTGGAAGGTCCTCTAGTCCCACTTCCCAGCTTTGCAAAAGAAAGTACCAAGGTCCAGAGTGGCAAATACTATGGTCTGAATGTTTGTATAGGTCTAAACTTCCTGTGCTGAAATTCAAACCCCAAGGGGATTGTGTGAGGAATTGTGGCCCTTTGGGATGTGACTGGGTCATGATGGTGCAGCCCCCATGAATGGAATTTCTGTCATGATGAGACAGCACTGAGGCAGTGAGTTTGTCCCTCCCACCATGAGGACAGGAGAAGGTGCCATCTGTGAGGAGGGAGGCCCTCACCAGACACTAAATCTGCCTGTATGGGAATCTTGGTCTTCCCCACCTTTCTTTAACTGAAAAATAAGTTCCTGGTGTTCCTAAGCCACCGCTCCATGGTGTCTTGTTGTCACAGCTTGAATGGATGGAGATGGGGGTGACCTGCCCCTACAACACAGCTACCTCATCTTGGGCTCTGGGATCTGCCAGGGGCCATTCCATCCCTCTTGTCTGTGCAGGATCGACTAGACTAGAGAGGGAAGCTTGTATTGATTTCAGAGGGAAGAACTGTCAAGTCTCTCTGATCATTCATTCACTCCCTCATTCATTCCTTCACTCAGCATCCAGGTATTAAGTACCCATGCTGTACCTCGAGGTGACCAGCACCTGGTGAGTAGGACAGACCCAGGTCTTGCCTTTGAGGAGAGCAACATCTGGCTGGGAGACAGAAAAGTCCCTGACATTTCCAATGCCAGAGGGCAGGTAGCTGTGGTGGGGGAGTCACAGACTGGTCATGGTGGTCTTCCTCTTATGGAGTGGAAGGGGAGTCACTGGGAGGGAGTGCGCAGATTGGATGTGGTGGAAACTCAGGAAGTCACAGGATGTGGATTCCCTGGACCTGGAATTCCCAATTCCCTGTGCTCTCAATCCCTCTCACAATCCCACAACACTGCAGACCCTAGGCAGTTACCAAGTTCTGCCCTCCATATGTGACCACCCACCTCTGTCCCAGCAGGGTCAGGCACTGCCAACAGAAGGACGCTCCTTCTGCAAAGGACGGACGGACTACTGGGGACGCTCAGGCAAGGACGGTGGTGCTGTCCGTGGTGCTGACGCAGAGTTGAGCCCTTTTTCTGGAGATGTCTGCAGCTCTGCGGAGTGGCCTGGTCACACAGAGTAGAGCCTCCAGGTTGGAGTCAAATGGTCACCATGTCAGATGTACTGGGAGACCCCAGGTCCATCTGGAAGGGGGCACTCTGGAGAGAGAAAGGCCTCTGTCTTTCCTCCGTGTCTTTCTGTCCATCTTCAGGAATGTCCTGGGAACAATGTCAGGCTGATGTCACTGCTCCTAGGGTGGGAAAGTTAAACTGCTGAGCTGTCCCTCTACACACATGGTCCCTTGTCGTCCCCCAACATCTCTAACTGAGAAGCGGTAAAACTCTCATCAGATAGATGAAGCATCCGACACTCAGACAGAGGAAGGGCTGGAGGAACTCAGCTCCACAGACAACCCTACACGATCCTACACCCTATCCAAACAGGGTGATGTTCTCATTAAAGGATGGAGTTTTGTGCTTTTTTAGTTGAAGTCTCACTCTATTGCCCAGGCTAGAATGCAGTGGCATGCTCACGGACACTACAACCTCGATCTGTTAGACTCAGGCAATCCTTCCACCTCAGCCTTCCAAGCAGCCTCAACTACAGGCACGTGCTACCATGCCCGACTAAGTTTTGACTTATGCAGAGAAGAGGTCTCGTCAAGCTGCCTGGACTGGCTTCAAATCCGCAGGCTCAGGCAATCCACTCACCTCAGCCTCCCAAATTGTTGGGTTCACAGGCTGAGCCACTGAGCCCAGCCAGGGTGGAGTTAGTATTATCACCACTTCTTGCCTCTGAATGGGGCCCATGACTGCTTTCACCAATGAAACGTGGAGGACAAGGTGTCCTGAGACATTACGAAGGTCTGCCAACTTCCCACCTGCTTCATGGGTCCCTGGGCTTCTGTGAAATTCAAGTTCTCTGTGGAAGAGATGATACCTGGAGAAGCACCGGGGACTCCAACATCCAGTTCCATCTGGGCCATGGTCTAAATGCAACTGCCTGAAAGAGCTCAATGAAAATTATGAATGAAACTGCCCAGCTGGGCCTCAGTCAGTACAGCACTCCACAATAGAGTAACATCATCATCTTGGTCACTGAGTCTGGGCGTGGTTCAATGTGCAGCAACAGATCACTAGAACAGTGGCCACAGAAAGCACAGCTTACAGAGAAGAGGTGAAGTTGGGATTTATACATCTGACTAGCAGTTCCCCATGCTGTATTTGAAGGATTACCTTTAAGAGGAATCTGAAGTCTTTGCTGAAGACACTGGTGCATGCTTAATTCTGCCTGCACTCGAGCAGGCTGGAAGCACAGTGCCCACATTTTGAAAAGTGTAGATCAGGGGAGTTGGGGTGATACAGTCATATTCATGTCTTCAGTGTTCACCCTGGCTCCTCGGGAGACTGGGATGGAGGGCCAGCTGGGCTGGAACCAGGCCACTCCATAGGAGTCTGGGGATGCTTGTCATCTGGTATGTTGTGGATGGGGATTCCTGTCACTAAGAGCAGCAAGGCCACCCTCATTCATATCTGTGACCCTGAGTACACCGGGCCCAACTTATCCCAAAGTCAGTGGTATACATGCAGACTGTTAACAGCACAGATTTGCCAGTGAAAGGCAATCCATCTGGTATACAATAGGATGCAAGTTTAGAGTTTAAATATGCAAGGTTAACAAAGTAATTCTTGAGTGGTAGGCGGACAAGTCCCCTGAGGCTGCTCCCCTAAGCAGAGGACTGGAACAGGGGACAAGAAAGAACAAGAATGGAGTGGGGGAGTACATATATGGGGAGGGGGCAGGCAGGATACAAAGGGGCAGTCAGTGGGTATGAGTGGTGTTTCCAGGAAGCGGCTCACAGTGATGTCCCCCATCTCACCCTTGGGTCAGTGACCCCACCTCAATTCCATCTTGGGACAGAGTGGCTCATTTAGATACTCAGTTTTGCTTCCCTGGGACCTCCCAGGCAGAGCCAACATGATCTCAGATCAGATTCATTAGGTCACCTTAATTCTGATTCTAGCAGGGGGCAGGGCAGCTCAGCCCCACAGAGAACTTAGAAACCAATCACTGGGTTTTCCTGGAGAGAGACAGACCTGCTCACTTGGTGCAGTAGGTCCAGGTGGGGCCATATGAGAGGAGGAAGCCAGTCTTCATGAGGGTCCCCTAGATCAGAATGAGGACCTGCGGCCAGGAGCCCTCCTGTTCCCCAGTCACACATCTCTACAGGAGAGCCTTCCCTAAAAGAGGAAAAGAGGAAGAGGTTCCATCCACAGAGCTCAGCCTCTCCCACAGCTGAACACCAAACCAGGCCGCCCACCCCAGCCCCTATCCTGCAACTCACTCTGCACAGAGAGACTCAAGGAAATGTGATGGGAGCCCAGTGGGTGTTGAGCCTAGCAGGTGAGTTCCCTCTGTCTCCAGCCTCTGCGTGGGCAGCTCCAGGACCCTGGGTGCTGGGGGTGGGTGAGATTCAGGGTTCTTCCTTCCCCAGAACCACCTCAGGGAGGCAGGGGGTTGCTGTTAGCCATGCAGACCAGGCGCAGGGACTGGCCCTGCAGGCAGTGACAGCCGTTGCTCAGGGTGTTCAGAGCCGCCATTCAGGTCAAGGTGCCTGGAGAGACTTAGGCAGTTTCTGCCATTCTTCTAGGGTTGGGGGCATCTCTTACCGGATTCATGTGTAATTCCCCAAGAGAAATAACACTGAGTAGGTGTCACATGCTAATGACAATTGTTTCTCTTCTTTGTAAAAATGGGATCAATTTTTCAGCTTGTTACTCCTTAACGAGATTGTGCTGGCTTATTGTTTTGTTGTGAGACTCTTTTAGATTTCCTGAGCAGAAGCTGTGTTTCATGAGTGAGCTTTTCAGACATTCCTCCCAGTCAGTCAGCTTCTCTGTTGACTGTCTGAACTGTCTTTTACAGAAGAGCAGGACCCTTGTTCCCAAACATCTGAGTGAGGCATGACATGACCCGCTGTTGTGGAAGGTAGGGCCGGGAAGATGGAGAAGAGGCCAGTCCAGGAAACCAGAAGGGGACACTCTGGGGTACAGAAAGTCCCCTTGGCAGGAGTTCAGGGAGCCGCCCTGCAGGAAAGCACCGAAATGAACCTGAGAACGGCCCCTGCTCCTGCTTCCCACAGCCCGCTGCTTCTGCCCTGCCCCTGGGAGCAGAAGGATAGCTACCCACTCCCGACAGGATGTTGGCTGGGACTCTTTGGACATCACACCAAGAATCCAGGTCATGTCCAGTTGGCCACCTCATCCCAAAGCCCAGCAGCCAGCCCAGGAACAAGCAGCCTGACCTCCAAACTGGGCTCCACCCTCACAGCTTCCCCTGTGGGCTAGTCTATCTCAACCTTGGAGCTCATTCAACACAGGAGGGGGCAGATATCTTCTCATGGTCAGGACTCCAGCTGGTGACCCCAGAAAGGGAAGAGAAGGGTCACATCAGGCAGAGAGTGGGAGGGGACTGGGGACAGGATCTTTGTTGGCTGATACATTCATTTTATCCCACATTTCTGGATGTCATATTGTTTTTTGGTTACCGTTTTCTTAAATATTTACCAAATATGAAACTTTGTCCCCTGAAACAGCAATCCCCCTTTGCCTCCTCAGCCTCTGGCACTGCTCACTGCACTTACTGTCTATGAAGGTGACTCTTCTTGTCACTTTATGGAAGTAGAATCCTTCAGTGTTTGACTTTTCATGACTGGTATATTTCCCTTAGCAGTATGTTTCCAAAGTTCATCCACTTGGTAGCAGTTTTCAGAATCTCTTTCCTTTTTAAGAGTGATATGTTCTTCTTCCTTTTGTTTATCCACTCCTCTTCCAGATCACGTGGCTTGCTTCCACCCCTCAGCTGTGGTGAATGATGCTGCCATGACCATGGGAGAACTGGTATCCACTCAAGCTCCTATTTTCTTTTGGGATGGAATGTCTGGCTCACATAATGCTTCTATTTTTTTTTAATTTTTTTATTTTTGAGTTGGAGTCTCATTCTGTCACCCAGGCTGAAGTGCGGTGGCATGCTCGGGGTCACCACAGCCTTGACCTGCTGGGCTCAGGCAATCCTTCCCCCTCAGCCTTCCAAGTAGCTCAAACTGCAGGCATATGCTACCACGCCCAGCTAATATTTTGATTTATTGTGGAGTCGAGGTCTCACCAAATTGCCCAGGCTGGTCTCAAACCCCTGGGCTTATGCAATCCTCTTGCCTCAGCCTCCCAAAGTGCTGGAATTGCAGGTTTGAGCCACCCTGCCTGGTTTCTATTTTTAATTATTTGAAGATCTGTGATACTCATATCATCCCCCTTTTTTAGGCCTCATCTCTTGTAATCATTTTACACCATAAAAATTGACACCCAGGAGTCTACCCTCCATGGTGGAGAATTTTCTGGGTCCTCATGGGTGACTGAAGCCACAGAGAGAGGAAACCCTGTGTACCCTAGATTTTTTCCTCTATCTACATGACTATGGTGAATTTTAATTTATAAATTAGCATAATATAAGATTAACAGCCATAACTTATTATTAAATAGAGTCATTATAATAATATACTCTAATAAAAGTTATGTGAAGTGGTCTTTCTCTCTGTCATAATACCTCAGTGTCCTGTCCATGCGTAAGTGAAAGTGCAGAAATAAAAGCAGAGAAAATGGGAGAAAATTGCAGAAACATTATAAACTTTTATAATCACTACACTATCAACATCTCCAACCTGGACGCCTCTACTGAAGTCCTGACATGTGCATTCAGCTATCTCCCTCCTGTCTCTGTTCAGATGTCAGGGGGATTCTCAGAGTCAACTTCCTCCCTCAAGGCCCTCCTTCCACAGTCACCTATGACATAGCTATTTCCTTCCAGGTGCTCAAGGGATTATTCTGATATCATTTGCTGCCCTTCCCTTCCCCTCACTGATCACACCATAGAAAATCCTATAACTTGACCTTCCACACACATCTTAGGACCATTGTTTCTTTTCTTTGTACAAATATGATCAATTATTTAACTTGTTAATTGTAAACTGGATTTTGTTGTGAGTCTCCTTTCGATTTTCTGGGCACAAGCTGTGTATCATGTATGAGATTTTCAGGCATTCCTCCCGGTCAGTCAGGTTTTCTGTTGATGGTCTGAACTGTCTTTTACAGGAGAGCAGGACCCTTGTTTCCAAACACCTGAGGGAGGCATGAGATGACCCACCTTGTGGAAGGAAGAAGCCAAAACGTTGGAGAAGGGGCCAACCCAGGAGGTCAGAAGGGGGCACTCTGGGGTGCAGAAAATCACCTGGGCAGGAGTTCATGGGGCTGTCCTGTGGGAGAGCACAGAGAGGGACCTGAGAATAGTCCTGCTCCTCCCATTCCTGCTCCCCACAACCTGCTGTTTTGCCATGACCCTGGCAGCAGAGGGATAGTTGCCCGCTCCCAATAGGATGCCATCACTGGGACTCTTCCCCCATCACTCCCAGAGTCCAGGTCATGACTAGTCAGCCAGCCCAGGAGCAAACAGCCTGAACCCCCACCCGGGCTCCACCCTCACAGTTCCCACTGTGGGCTGGTCCTTCTCAGCCTTGGATTCAACACAAGAGGAGGCAGATATCTCCTCATGACCAGGACTCCACGTGGTGATTCCTAGAGAGGGAAGAGAAGTGTCACATCAAGTAGGGGGTGCAGGAGGAAACTGGAGACTGGATCATTGTTGACTGATCCACTCATATTGTCCCACATCTTTTGGATACCATATTGTTTTTTGGTGACCATTTCATAAATATGTACCAAAAATCGAAACTCTGTCCCCCTGAAACAGCAACTCCCCCTTCGCCTCCTCAGCCCCTTGTATCACCTACTGCACGTACTGTCTATGAAGGTGACTTCTCTTGTCACTTCATCAAAGTGGAATCCTACCATGTGTGCCTTTTCATGACTGGTGTATTCCCCTTAGCAGGATGTTTCTAAAATTTATCCACTAGGTAGCAGTTTTCAGAATTCC